GAAGGGCTTACTTCCATTAAATTTACTTCCCCATAAGCAAAGGAAATCAAATGGATAAACGTGAGGGTAATGCAGGAATAGGAACACAAATCACCAATATTAAGATTTTTCGTTTGGGCCCCCACGTTAAGCTTTTGATGCCATTCTTCACTTTAAAACTATCTGTATGGATTAAAAAGAATTTCAATTCCTACGGTGATTAAAAGATGTTTCTAATATTATTCAAAAAGTATAGTGTAGTATAGTATATAGTATTAGTATAGCGGAGAGAAATGAGAGGGAAATGGCTTTGGTCTGTTTCTGTACCAAGTCGAGCTCCACTGAAGTGGCGTTCAAGTCCGCTAAATTTAAAGCTCCCCACTCCCACCCCCTGCCGCTCCTGCTTGAAAGGTCTCCCATACACTTTTCTCTCTCGGAATTTTACTCATGACATCAGGAAACCTAAAATGTTCTGCTCTAAGTACAAATATCAATAGTACCGAGCAAGCCTTGGAAGATTGGAATTCCGTGCGCCCCTGTGTGCACAGCTCTATCTGGCTCTCCCTTCAGTGCATTAGGCCTGCGCACACCGCAGGTTCTCCAGGGTGTAGAGGTGACCAGCAAGGGTGTACTCTGGCCCCGTTAAAGGACAGGCAGTCCTCTGCCCCTTCGTTCGTCTTCCTGTTACCCAGAGCCTTTCATAAGGATATTCTGTAGCGCGAGAAAGGAGCCTTCGGAAATGTAAACTCAACCCACTTAAGTACCAAGGTCTCCCCGCTCCCGGGCGCCCACTGCCCTTGAGCAACGCGCTGTGGTTGTTTCTAAGAGGTGCAGAGGGGAGTTAACACAGAATGTCTCCACAGCCGCTCCTGTGCGGCGCTTTCACAACCCTGTGCACTCAGGGGTTGTCTGATTTCGCTGCCAGACCACATCGAAGAAAAGGTTCCGCACAATCATCCCTAGAGAGACAATCATACTAACTTGGACAATGGCAAATTCAGATCTAGCCTCCCTTCCTCATGCTGCCCTTTTCGTACAAGGTCACTTACCAAAGATCCTTTGGGCCTGGCAGGCCCGATTCGAATCGCAGGCGAGTCCAACTTGCCCTAATTTGGCTCATCTCTTCAGGCAGGCCCACACTGTGCAGAGGCGCTCGTACTGGGCTGAGCGAGGCCAGCTGGACAAGGATTCCTCACCCGGACCCCACCCTAGCCAGACCTTTGGGTGTCTCAATTCTTCGACCACATGGTCTTGCCCTGGCACTACTGTATAAGTCTTGGCTGGTGTCAGTCTAAGCAAACAGATTTACCCTACCTCCCTCAGTCTCATCACTTTTTCTGTTAGTTAAATATGTTTTCTTCCTCCGTTTTCATCCTATGTTTCCCTATTGGGTGGAGTGGGTGGAGGAGTGATGTCAGAATTTAAATTTTGATGTTTCCCACTGAACAAACAAGTCGTAAACTGACAGATCAATTATATAAGCAAACTGATCACGGTAACTCAATAAAATATTTTTTTTAGGAAAAAAACCCAAGATGAAAGGTGGCCTGGAGTAACCAGGTTTCTGTGTGGGCTATCCTTGCTTAATTTCATCAGGTGTCTGCGCGGGTCCGTGTAAACCACGCAGCGCGGGCAGGCGCGCGTGCTCGTGTGCAAGGAGCGTCGCTCGGCCAGTGCGACCCTCGGCTCTGTCCTGTGCGCCCACCCGCGTGCGCCGTCACCTCCCCGGGCCTTGGGGGCGCCGGGATACCGAACTTCTAATTCTGGCAAAGGAAATCCTTCCGCAGAAGGTTTGAATTATTTTTCGCCGCGGGAGACCAGGCCTAGACCACGCTGCGCTAGGGATTTGGGCCGGAAAGGTCCAACCCAGAGCGGGAGCAGAGGCTAGGGTCTGGGCGCAGATGGTGGCTGAAATAGACTTCTCAGGCCCGAAGCCGCAGGTCAGGCTTTCATTCCTTGCAGCTTGGCGGAGGCAGAGACAAGCAGGGCAGAGCGCTGGGATCCTAGGAGATGGGTTTTAAGACCCTCTCTTGACCTACAGGACGCGGTCCCTACGGTTTCTCAAAAAAAAAAGGCGAGTATATGCATGGTTGTGATAGCGAGTGCGCCACATCACAGGCCTCTTTCCAAAGTTTGGCCGGCCTCGGAATTTTTCAGGGCTACTAAACCCGGTGGAAAATTTTGAAATACGTACTGTGCGCCCTCTGACGTGTGAACGCCTACAGCGCGCGGGCCAGCCTGGTTCCCCGCTGTTGCAGGTTGGAGCCCCGGGCTGCGGGCTCTTGGGGGCCTGCTAAAATCAGCCTAGTGCGGACAGAAAAACGGCCCGTATATAAACAGAAGGCCGCAAAGAAGTCTACAAAAAAAAATAAATAAATAAATAAAAATAGTGAAACAGTTCAGTCTGGCCCTGGGTTGTCTGAGGATCCCTGGGGTTTGTAGCTTGAGAAGAAAGGGGTTGAAAACCCGGACACTAGTTAGAGAGGGATGAGGGTGAGAACATTAATACAATGGCTCCAAGCGGGTGTTGTGAATCTGTGTTCTATCCCTCCCCAGCCCCGTGGCACTTTTGGGGTTTTGTTGAGTTTTCCCTCTTCTGGTTACAAGGTCAAGAGAGGAAGAGAGGGAAGAAGATGCACGTAGTGACGCAAGTACCCGCATGCCCTAAGTTAGAAAAGCCCGTTTGGGCAAAATCTTGCGGTCCACTGTGGCCTGTTCTGGGCACAGTGGGGTGGCCTGAATACACACACACACACACACACACACACACACACACACACACACTCATGTACAAACTTTAATACTTCTAAATGTGGTCTTGGAATTGTAGAGTGCTGTACGGGGCGAGAACTGGAAGAAACTCGAGGCCTAAAAGGGACAAGCAAACCCTGAACGCGAAAGCATTGGCTACCGCCCTGTTCCCAGAGCTCGGTGCAATTGGACAAGAGGCCAACAAGACGCTAAGCCTCCCTCCGGCCACGGCGCCCTTTTAGTGGAAGTTTTTTTCCTGCGTCTGTATGCTGGCTCCTTAGAAAACCTTGGCCAGTATCAGGCTCCAACTTGGGGATCCCCTTGGCCTGGTTTTTAGCCCGGCTCTGCAGAAGATCTGTCCCAGCCCTTGCTCCACAAATGTATTTTCGTTTTCTCTCTAATCTAAGCGCTATCTTTCTGCCATTAATTTTAAAACTTATTTTCGTAAGAGTAATAAAACTTTCTACTTTCTAGAGTTCTTCTAGGTCAGATCCCCCTACACCCCAATAGCGACCGGTGGAAGTTTGTGGCGATGATGAGAATCCGTATCTATCCCTCTTGAGCTGCTCTCCTTCTCAGAACCCTTCACTTAATCCTTCCAAGAACTGCTAGCTGATTCTGTGCTCCTTCTCCCCTCCTCGCCGCCCCCCCCCGCATCTTTTAAATAAGCGACCCCAGAATGGTGCTGCGTGAACTGGGACCTCCTGAAAGAAATGTTCCAGCGGACAGAATGTCTGCCACGACTAAATAAGATCTACTATTTCTATGGCCGAGAAAATAAAATTAACGACCGGCCCAAATTGTGATTTGTCCTGAGGCCTAGCAGAAAGACCACTAGCTGTGTGAAGGCCTAGAAAGACTGTGACAGCAGACTACTGTGATGAGGAAACTGGGTCTGGCCCGATACATGAAATAACATTCGCCACGAGTTCCTTTCTGGGGTGCCCACGCAGGGGTTTGCGTGGACAGGCACTCGCACCCACACTCAGAGTAAGACTTAAGCGGACGAAATAAATCTCCACTTAATTTTCTTTTCATCGACTAATAAAAATAATTCCCCAACACTTAGCCCAAATACCGTATCGCGCCACAAGAACACGGAGAATTCATAAAACCCTGTCTCTGCAAGTCACCCGCTAATCGCGTTATTATTAGCCTCGGGAGCATGGAAATTGAACTGTCACTGCCGAAGGCAAAAATGTAAGCGACAGCTGTCCCTCCTCGGGTCGGCCTGCCTTCAAGGCCAGGATCCGAGATCTGCTCCCGAGCTCTCGGATCCGCTGTGGGCCGCTCCCCCACCTCCCTAGGCTTGCCTGCGCGGGGACCGCGGACCGCTTCCCCAGCCTGGCTGGTGGGCAGGGATTCCCTCCAGTGTGTTTTAGAAGCTCGGGTGGGCCGGGAAGTTGCTTTAAGTGTACAAAGCAAGCTATGAGCGCTGTGTGCGCGCGCCGCCGCCGCCGCCGCCGCCGCCAGATTCTACTGACAACAGCTGTTCCCTCGGGCTGTTTTGCACAGTTGAAATCTTGGCACTTCATAGGAAACATCGTTGGCCCCCTCCTCTCAGAGTTCTATTAAGATACAGACATCGACATCTGCCCTGTGTTTTACGTGTTGTGTGCACATAATATGCACAGAATGCACAGAGATCTGAGATACAAATTAATTGTACATCTGGCTCCACAAATACACACAAAAATGTGGGTCTTAGGGTAAGGATCTAACGTTCACTCTTCTTCCCACAACTCCAACAGAATACAAATGGAATTATACTCCCTGGCCCCGGGAAGAGGGGAAACACAACTTGAGTCCCAGAAAAGCTGGTAGGAGAAGGCGAGGACTCGGTCGAAGATTAAATGGGCAAGGTGGGCATTTCCTGACAGGGCATTTGAGGGTCCCCAAATCCGCACCCGTCAGACTGGCATATGGGAAGCAAGTTAAGTCTCTCACTCCCCTGCGTCCGTAGCGGTTACCTTCGACCCATGCCCCTACTAACCCCCAGGGGCCTGCGGCAGCGATAAGCCTCCTCCCTTGACATTGGTGCGGCAGCGATAAGCCTCCTCCCTTGACATTGGTGACGAAAGTGTAAAGTTCAGAATTGTCTCCTAAATTGGTTCCAATTAATTTAGGGCGGTCCAAAGCATTTGCAATAAACAAAATGGGGGGGGGCGATCTCGCGTTGGAGCAGCGCTAGGGACAAGGCCTCCCTTCTCCCCACTCGGCCCGGTGCCCCCACACTACCCGCCTAAGGAGGTCCAGCCCAACGCACTCACCCGGGTGGGGCTCCAGGCAGTGCGTGGCCGAGTCCTCGGTGTCTCCGAGCGGGCCCGCCGGGCTCAGCGCCTCCATGGACAGGTCCAACCCCTTCTCCTCCCAGTCTCGCAGTTTCCGCTTTTTATTTGAGCCGATCAAGGCTTCAACGGAGAAGGCATGTGCTCGCGAGCTCAGGGCGACTGCAGATCTTCTCCTTTCACTCATTTTAGCCGCCCGCACCCCGGCCCGGCTCACTCCGCTCCTCCGCAGCAGCCCGCGCCCTCGCACTCCGAGCGCCCGCCGCGCTGGGCCCGGGCAAGGCGGCGGCGCGGCGGCCGAGGCCGAGGCGGAGGCGGCTCGGCGGGTCTCTGCGCCCTCCCCCGCCCTCCGCAGCAGGCTCGGACAGGCGCCCCCAGCTGCCCCAGCCGCTAGGATCGAGCGCGGGGAGCGCCGCCCGCCCGCTGCATGAGCGCCTAAGTCCGGATTTCCCACCCAAAGGGGCAGGCGCTCACAAGCTGCACCGACTGGACTTCATTTTTTTTTTTTTTTTAATTCTCTCTCTCCTCCCTCTCTGTTTCTCTCCTCCCTCTAACTCTTCCTTTCTCAGTCTTCCCGTCCTTCCTTGTTTGAAACTTCTGGGAAACTTTTCCCCCCCTAAGTTCCTCCCTTCTCGAGAAGCTGGGGGCAGACAGTGCGCTCCCGTCCGAGGGGCAAGGGAGAGGGAGGGGGGAGGAAGAGAAAGATTGAGGGGGGGAAAAAAAGTCAGCCCCCGACCAATGGCGAGGAGGGAACAGGAGAAAGCCTGAGAGCGCGGGCCAATGACAGAGGGGGAGAGACTGAGGCTTCGGCCAAGGCTCTGCGCCCTGGCGTCCCTGGGAAGCTCCAGGGTCGACCTTAACCCCTGGTTTCCCGGTCCTCTAAGGACTCGCGGCGAGCTGGAGGGGGCTCCAGTCAGGGGAACTTAGATCTGATTCTTTCCTTAAATGTTCACCCTCAGAATGCTTAAGGGTGGGGGGCGGGGGGGGGGGGGGGAGGTGTATCGGAGATGAGACTGAAAGTCGAGGTCAGATCTGTGTTGTAACAAACTTCTGCAAATACTAAATCTGTACCTTTTCTCTCTCAAACCTTTTCTTTCTCACAGACACCACAAATCCAGTTCTTTGTAGGCAGATCTGGGATTTGGGGCGCTCTGTTAGAAAAAAAAAAATACCAGAAAACAGCTCTGATTACCTTGCTTACCCCGAGTTGGTTTTAGCTCTACAGGTTTCACCCTGATTTTCCCCATACAGTGTCTTACATTCTTGTTGAGCGTTTTCCCAACAAGTTATAATTGAGGCGAAACAAAACGAAATAGCACACATACAAAAAGGCCAATTACTATCCAGGATCTCTTAACCGAAAAGAAAATCAAGCACCGATCGCTTCTTGTCTCTAGTTCTAACTTGTGGTGGAGGAGATGCTGGCTCCCTCAGAGCAAGAGACCACAGGCGGGTCTCTCAGATGGGCCCGCACCCAGGAACATATTTCCCTGCCGCGGTGCGGATGCGCTGGCCTGGGCCACGCGCTTCGCCTGCCCCGCGTTTGTTGCCAAGCGGGCGCGCTGGACAGGCAGCCTGGACAACAGACGTAGTGTTCCCCCCTCCTTCAAAATCAGTTACCGCTGGCCTCCTCGGGTCTCCAGCTCCACTCACACCCTCCCTTTAAAAAAACTAAATGTCTTCGTGGGCAGTGCATTCATCAGGGAGTTCTAAGGTACTTAAACTCTTCGGTTTTGGTATTTCCCACACCTTCTCTCCAGACTCTGCCGCTTTGGCACAAGATTCTACACACTGCTTTGAGTCGAGCACGCTCAGACCCTTGGAGAAATCGGTCCTTCCAAGTTGGCGAAATGGCTCAGATTTCGAGGACCACGACTTAGTCACCGCCTAATCTCCCAATTCCAATGCTCTGAACTATATGTTTGCATTCTCCATCTAAGAGGCCTGGAACAACAGTAGCTGAGCAAACAGACAACAGTTTTAAGTCACAGGTAGAGAGCCTGCAAAGGCCAGAGGAAGCCCGCTATCAGTCAGAAGCCACCAAGAGCGAGCAGAAGCTCATCCTCTCACCCTAGAGAGAGAAGAGTAGGCAGACTGGTCTCTGAAACGCCGAATTGCCTGACCACCATCGGCCCCCGAGAGAAAGTGTAGACCCACCTCTACTTAGTAGCACCTGGTATTAGAAACAAGATTAAGGGCCACAAATGCTCCAAAGCTTGGCAACTGAGAGAAGAGAACAGAAAGGCCATTTGGGTGCCCTTCAAATTGAACCTCAAACTACAGAGAATGCCTGCAACAAGGTGAGTGTGATTCAGCCAGGCCTGGGATTCTTAGGTCTCCTCAGAGCCTGCCTCTCTAGCTAGAAGTACTCGGGGAGCATGCTCTGGAACCCAAGGAGCGGAACTCCAGGAGCTCCAACAGTGAGGCACAGGATTTCCCACCTCGTGACCTTTGGATCCTGGAAGCTGCGCATTCAAGGCCATGGGCCCCTTCGAGAGTTGAAGGCAAGACAGATTGAGAGCCCGTAGTCCCTCAGGCCTATCTCCTGCTGATTCTATGTGGTTCAGTGTTGCAGTGTATTACACTGTGAGTGGTGGCCAAGACCAGGCACAGTGGAAAGTGAGGTGGTGTCCAGCCTTCCTTCCCCTTTCCTCAGGCCCAGGGCTTGTACCTCGCTCTGGCAACACAGCCTCTCTGAGAGGCCAGTTTGAGTTTGAGAAGTAGGTATGCTGTTAACACTTCACACGCGTTCCTTGGGATGAAGAGAATTACTAACTCATAAAATGACTTTTTGGTCACTGGCTTACCTAAGTGTAGGCCCATGGGGCAGAAGGTGTCCATGCAGACATTGAGACAGATGCATATGCATGGGCAATGACTTCAAGGACATGAATCTACACCCCACCCCCCACCCCGTGCAAACGCAAATGCAAAGTCACAGGCCTGTTCACTTTCTTGGAGTTCCTACATCCTACATCCTACATCAAACAACTTTCCAAGTCTCCTCTCACTCCTTCCTCCCAACAGTAATGGTTCTCTCCTTTAAACTATAAGAGGAAGAGTGGGATCCTGAATGTATAAGGCAAATTCCTAAGGCAACATAACCCAAGTTCTCTGCCACACGCTCCAATCCTGTGTATGCCTGGAGCCTACAGACTGAGTGGCAGTCTCTCCTGTCTATTAGGCCTGAAGCTGACTGACAAAGGCCAAGCTAGACTACCACATCCTGTTCCTTGTAGGGTCTCAAGGAGCAGGAGAAGGTTGCAGTAATACCTAGGAAGTCAGAGCAGGTCAAGGTCAATCGTTTGCTGAGACTTAATGGGGCAAGAAAATACCCTGTTTTGAACTTGGCTGCACTGACTGCTTTCTTGAAACTGACCTTGTTCAGGAATTTCATTTCTCAAAGGAACAACAGAACTCTATAGCACCACAGGACAAGGCCCATAAATATAAACATTCATTCTCAGAAATAGAACTCCTACACCCTACACATACTTGTCCTACCCTCCCTTTTCCCCATCCCAAAGACTACTCTTAATACCTCCAGGATTGCTGAAAAGCAATAAAAATTTAAATCAGCTTTGATTTTGCCATTTTGAGTGAGCAATTGAAAACAAAGTTAAAAATACAGTAGTTAGTGATTGATTGAAGCATGGTAGGCTGCCCTTAAACACAAGGCAGGACACCCTGTGAGGGTGGGAATTAGAGATGCTTCTCACCATATAAGCAGGTATAAAACATTATGAGCAGACTACATGGGGTATGGAAGGAACCCTGGTGGTACAGCGGTTAAGTAGTTCAGCTGCTAACTGAAAGGTCATAGGTTTGAACCTACATAAAGATTTACAACCCTGGAAACCCTCTAGGACAGTTAGTCTAGTCTTTCCTACAGGGCACTATGAATCCGAATCAGACTGACAGCATTGAGTTGGATATCTGGACAAGGTACAGTGATCCACTAGGAACTTCAAAGCTCAGTTAAAAGGCCTAGTGCCTCAGTTTCCACGTATCAGGCTGAAGTAGTCCAAAATATGTAACAGCTAAGTTCAAAATATGTAACAGCTAAGCAAAACAAGTATGATAATCTGTGGAGGCCAGACAGACGAGAGATTTTACTATTGTTGTGATTCAGTCTTCCAGGAATGTGTTGCCCCTTTGCCCTTCTTCTCCCAAATTGGTGCCCCAAAGCAAAAAAAAAAAAAAAAAGAGAGAGAGAGAAAAGAAAAAAGGCATAGAGTTGGGAGGCATAATTGGCCAGGAGCCCTCCAGTGGGGTAAAGAGGGGGTCCATTTCTGGAAACACTGGACCCCTTGCCGGTTCCTCAGAGGCAGTGAGACCCCGTGGCCTGAAGATGCCGCCATCCTCGGGTCACCAGGAGCTGTGAGGCCAGCATGTCGCTGACTGCTCAACCACCCCCTCACACTTTTTAAAAATGAAAGTCCGTGGGGGCAAAAGGGCCTTTAATGATGTTTTTTTGTTTTCGCGAAATAAAATCTTTTGTTTTTCTTTTAAACCAGCAGCGTGCCCACCTCTCGGTCCTTCCAGATGTTTGCAATAAAATGGCAGGTTTTGCCTTTGGGACTGGAAATAAAATTTAACGGCCTTTACCCTGTAATTATTCTCTTAGCTCGCCCTTCATAAATTTATCTGCTTTCTATCGGCGTTGGGGCAGGGGGCGAGCGAGAGGGGGGAAAGCCCCGATTTTATATTTGGACCATAAAAAAGCGCCACCCGGTTTCCTCGCCTTCGGCCGCCACGGTGTGGCCGGGAGAGCCGGCCCGGCGGGCGGCAACATTGCGCTATTGTTCGCTGGCCTCGGCCTGCGCCTGAGCCAGGCCCCTCCACAAAGGCGGCCTTGTGTGGCCAGGCCCCGAGCGGCCGCGCCCTAGGGGCGAGGAAATCCTGTTCCCGCAGGCCCAACTCCTCTTTCCCTCGGGCAGGCGGGCCCCGCGTATCGCAAAGCCCTGCAGCCGGACCTTTGCCTTCAGGCTGAGCCCACTGGGCGCCAGCTCCAGCCCCGTCAGCTTTGCCATGCGTCTGTGTGTCCCCTAGTGCACAAGCAACGCGTATACCCACACGTGTGCCTTTTTAGAATCAAACGCGCTTATGGAATTAATGCCTGCTTGAGTACACAAAGTCACACGTAAATATATAAAGGATATTCTAGGCATACTTTAAACTGTCTCT